ATTTTGATGTAATAACAGGATCGCGGACTGGAACCTTGACGGAACGGTATCTCACTCGACTCTCTGATCCTCTCCACACACTCCATCACTTCTGAACTACACGTGGCCTGATTCCTTTATAGCCAAGGATATGTAGGCAGCTCAGATACCAGGGCTCGGTCACAATCTTTTTGAATAAGTGTCGGGTCAGAAATCAATTACGTCGCTTACTTGTTTCTTTGCTCAAAAATACTTTGTGTTTCCAAGCAAAGAGAGACAGCTGTAAGCACGTAATTTTTGACCCACACATTAGAATTACCTTTAATAGTCCTAGTATTTTTTAGAATATTTATTTGAGTTTATTTCTATAGGATTTCACTTTATTATTAATTTTATTTCTATTTTTTAAAGCACAAAAATTGAAAAAATACAAAAATAATTTCATTTTCTCTATTTAATTTAGGTATTAGGTATTTTTAGAAAGATATTATTTTTATTATTATTTGAAAATACCAAAAAATAATTTTTGTATTAATTAGTATATTTTGATAGTATTAGTATTTTTATTTTTATTTTTTGCTCAATGAGTAAGAATTGAATTTGGGCCAATTGGGAGCTCATTTTCGTATTTTGGTGGCCCAGCAAGACAAAGGCCTATTCTTCCCAATCCCTTTTAGCCCAAACCCTTTTCTCACCCATCAAACCCCTCCCTTAATCATAGCCATTGATCTACTTTCATCCAAAGGCCAATACTCACTCCCCACTACCATATAAAAACCAAATTAACACCCAAAAACCCTAAGCTAATTCCCCCACTTCAGCGGCAAGAGAGAAAAAAAAATAGAGACGCAAAAACAGAGGAGGGAGATCTGAAAAACGAAGGGAACAAAAACAACAAAAAAGAGAAAGAAACGAAGAAGGAGAGAAAGAGAAAGCTTTCCCCCACCAAAGCTGGATTCGACCCCATCTTCTTCACGTCCTTTCCTTCATTGAACACCATTTTTATAGCCATGTAAAGCTCCTCTCTCTTTACCCAAATCCAGCTACAAAAACTACCTAAAACCACCATGAATGAGCCTTGAAACTCCATAAAAACCAGCAAAAAAAAAGAGCTTCATTTGTTTTAGCAAAATAGCCATCCAAACAGCCATGAAAGCAGTCCCTTTTCTTCATTAAAACTCCACTGTTTCAGCCCGACGACCAACTGCTAAACCATCCGAAAATAGTCACCAAATCATCACCCAAGCCCATCCCAGAACCTCTCGCAGAAACACGTCCAGAGGTTCTCAAAACAATAAGGTCTTCCATCGAGTTTTATCGTCGAGAAAGCTCCTATTCGAGATCTTTTCCAGTGAGGTTCTCGTTCATTCGCGATCCAGATCCGTCGAGGCTGTTTGAACTCTGTCGGACAACCTGTCTGCCTTCAAGTTGTAGCTGGCACCATCCTTCGGTAATTCGAACTTGGAGATTTTTATGTCAATAAAGTGAAAAGTTTATTCCAAAAAGGTCCGTCTTGTTCTTCTTTAAAGGTCCGTCTTGTTCTTCTTTAATAACTCGTCTACTGATTTCCACGATGCTTCTTATGTCAATATTTTAGTTGTTTTATTTTGATTTATAATGTGTTGTCCTAATTGATATGTTTATCCATGTTAGAAAAACTATTTTTTTCTTAATTATTGTTTTGAGAACAGTATCTCTCATGGTGGCGAGATGTAATTAGTTAAGTGGGCTTACGTCATTACTATTATTTGTTTCATTAGTATTTTTGTCGTTTTGGTTTTCTCATTAGATTTATCTTAGAAGCTATAAAATAATGATATGAAGGAACTAAGGTGATATGATTACTTTCACAGATTTTCTTAGAGTTTAACGGGCAACTTTGGGGCTGGATTCAATTCACTAGATTTTAAGTGCACAACCCATTATCTTGTTTTTGGATTGATTTTTATCATGATACTTTTAATAGAATTGGGTCAAATGAACCTTGCTAGACCATGTCTTTTTTTAGGATAAAGCTAGCCCACTTCTTCCATAATAGATAAATGCCTTGTAATTTCAAAGATTGAGTAGTAAGTTATAAAGTTTTCTAAGTGTAAATAACTTGTCAATACTCTAAGTAAATAAAATATTTCTTGGCTTCCAAACAACTCCATTTCCATAATATGTGCCTCTGCAATAATCTCAAAGTTTAGATCTTAGGGAAATAATTTAAATACGCCAGTTTGCTTTAGGCGCGATTAATAAATCATCGTAACCATGGGTACGGTTCCCGTGGCATTGTCACGATACATGAATCCCAACTCAAGTGCGCGTTTCACGCGACTTGACTGTAACTTCAAATGATAATAAAAATAAGCATGTCGTCAATCGCGGGTGCATTTTATGTGACGCAGTTTGCGATGTATGCCAAAACGACAAGTGTATGACATCGTGACTTGTTCCAGAAACAATTTCATAAATAATTAAAAGCGTTTTAGAAGATAAAAATACACACTAGGTTTTAAAACATGTATTAAATCAGATAATTAGGCCAATTATTAATAGTTGAGCGACCGTGCTAAAACCACGGAACTCGAGAGTGCCTCACACCGTCTCCCGGGTTAACAGAATTCCTTACCCGTTCTTCTGTGTTCGCAGACCATAAATAGAGTCAAATTTTCTCGATTTGGGATTTAAAATAAACCGGTGACTTGGGACACTATAACTTATTCCAAGTGGACTCTGATCAAATAAATAATCACATTTCGAATATTGTCACTTTAATTGAAAAAACTCCCCTATCCCATATCCTCTTCGGGAAAAAGGAGGTGTGACAACCTTGGGTGGTACTGCTGTTAGCTGGATGTCCATACTTCAGAAAAGTGTTGCTCTATCTATCACTGAAGCATAATTCATGGCAATCTCAGAAGCTAGAAATGAGATGATTTGGCTTAAGAATTTTCTTAAAGAGCTAGGTAAAGAGCAAGACAATTGTGAGCTTTACAGCGATAGCCAGAGTGCAATTCATCTTGCCAAGAATCCAGTGTTTCATGCAAGATCGAAGCATATCTAGTTGAGGTATCATCATATCCGAGAGTTGATAAGTGAAGAAACTCTTTCCCTGCAGAAGATACCAGGATCAAAGAACCCGTCAAACATATTGACCAAAGTTGTCGGTGTTGACAAACTGAGGTTGTACACTGCCTCAGTTAGCCTTCAAGACTGATAGCGTGAAGGCGCCACCAAATAATAACAAATCTTTTTTAAAATTTCTTTCTTGATATAACATAGGTTTGAGGGGGAGATTGATAGTAGCAAACCTGTTGTTGTATGCGAAAGAAAGAAAAGTAGACAAAACAAAAAAAGAAAAGTCAAAAAGAGATGAACTTATGATATAAGCGCTTACGTCGACATTCGACATTCGTATGATGTAAGCGCTTACATCGGCATTCGTATGATGTAGGCGATTACATCGATATTCCTAAGATTTCTTTCAAATGCGGATGTAAGCGCTTAAATCGGTATTCCTAAGATTTCTTTCATTTGCATATCATCCCTTAACTTCTTCTTTCTCTCTTCAATTAATAAAGAGCTATTTTTTGTGTGGCCGTGGAGTAAGCAAAAATTATCGAACTACATAATCTCTTGTATGCAATTTATTATTTTTCTTTTCCCTCCTAACACGTTTCCCAACAAGTTATACAGCTAATCTCATTTCACTCTCATCAGTCATCAGTACGACCATATGACCAGCTCTTTAATTTCCTACCACAAATCTCAAGTACTTTGTCACTATGTCTTCTACCTCACAACAGCTTCGTGTTGGTGTTCTCTCAAGTCCAGGCTTGGGCCACATTATCCCAGCACTAGCCCTCAGCAACCGCCTCGCCACTCACCATAACGTCTCAGTCACCGTTTTCGCTATCAGCTTCGGCAGCTCTGCGGCGGAAACAGAGATCCTCACGTCCGCCAAAAATTCAAAGCTGATTAATATAATTGAAATACCAGCAGTAGATATCTCGAACCTCATCGATGCCAACACAAAAATGATTGCCCTACTTTGCATACTTGTACGTGAAACGTTACCTGTTGTTAAGTCTGTAATATCTGCGGAGAAGCATATTCTGGACGCTCTCATCGTTGATCTTTTTTGCCCTGAAGCCTTGCCAATTGCCAAAGAATTTGGGTTACCCAACTATTTATTTATTCCTACGAATGCATGGTTTACAGCTTTGACTATATACTGTCCTGTTCTTGACAAAGAAATTGAGGGTGAATATGTTGATGAGGACGAACCGTTGCAAATCCCGGGTTGCAAACCGGTTCATCCGGAAGACGTTGTTGATCCTATGTTGGACCGGAACGATGAGCAGTATCACGAGTACTTGAGGGTACATGGAGCCGGGTTCTGTTTGTCTGATGGAATCTTGATGAACACTTGGGAAGATGCTGAGACCGGCTCACTCAAAGCGCTTCGAGAAAATGAAATATTGAAAGCGATCCTGAATAATACACTGATTTATCCAATTGGACCGTTGATAAGATCACAGGACAAAGAAATCATAAATGAGAGTGGTGATGATAGGAACTTTGTCCTCAATTGGCTGGATGAACAAACTCCCGAATCAGTGCTAATACATATCTTTCGGGAGTGGTGGGGCCCTCTCGTTAGAACAGTTAACTGAGCTAGCTTTTGGGTTGGAATTAAGTGAGCAGAAGTTCATTTGGGTGGTGAGGCCACCGTTAGAGGTTGTCGTAGACTACCTCGGTGTAGACAAAGAAGGCGGTGATGGCACTCCTGAGTACTTGCCAGAAGGTTTTCTAACTCGAACGAAAGATTTTGGATTGGTGATTCAGGTGTGGAGTGATCAAGCAGGAATTTTGAACCACCCGTCAGTTGGGGGATTTTTGTCACACTGCGGATGGAATTCTTGTATTGAGAGTATAACAAATGGTGTGCCAATAATTGCATGGCCGTTGTACGCTGAACAGAGACAAAATGCCACCATGCTGACGGAGGAACTTGGTGTGGCTGTCAAGCCAAAGGTGTTGCCAACAAAGAAAGTAGTGGAAAGGGAGGAAATAGAGAAATTGGTGAGATCGGTAATGCAATATGAAGAAGGAAAGGACTTGAGGGAAATGTGAAGAAACTTAAGATGAGTGCAGAAAAAGCTACGAGCGTAGGAGGCTCATCTCACAATTCAATGTGTGAAGTCCTCAAAGACATTGACAAGAAAGTCCATTGTTACAAGAAAAGCATGTCTGAGGAAACAGTCTAAATTAAATAAGGAAATCAAGCATAGTCAAGTCGCTTTATTAATTATTAATTAATATTTTTTTTCCTATAAAAAATTCACTTTCTTTTGAATAAACATGCAAATAGTAGCGGATTCACATTTAAAGATTGGCGTGGCATGCACCGGCAAGTTTGGCAAAATTTTTACGTACAGGTTGAGATTTTCTTAAACAACATTAAATGATCTTTTTGAAAGCTTGGCTCAAGTTCGAATCTTGGTGAGTACTTCAGCTAATTCTATATTTACTTATGGGTGTAACTGTGTAATTTACCTATCAAAGATATTTTTTTGGTTTGTTTTCTTATTCTAATTGGTATAATTTTCTTATTGAAGATGTTATTTTACTTGCGTAAATTTATTTCTAATAGAGAGAGTCTGATTCTCTAAATGAGAAATATTATTAATTTTGCAAATTTATAGGAAATGATGTAATTCCGATCCCCTAGAGGAACTGTTATTTTTACTTGTGATGTTAATAATAAATGCCTGATTCCTATTTGAAAATATCAATTCCATTTGTTTCTGGTATAAGATTGTAATTTTCATATTTGCAAATCAAAAATCTATTAAGTTGACTAAGTAAACTCGAAAGAGACTCAATTGAACTGAATATAAATTCCTAACTCTATAATCTATACAAAGTGTACATTAAGGAACCATTTGGTTCAAGCGATTATGTGAGTTAACTCGGTATAAATTTTGGGATTAAATTTATGCCATATTTAGTTGGAGGTATTAGCAAAAATCAGCATTATACTCTTTACCAAAATTTTGGTATAATTTACCCATATAAACGATGGAAATTTCAGATCTTGTTGATTTTAATTCCAAGATTACAATCCTAAGATTGTTCTGATTTTGAGCCAAATGACCCCTAAAGGAAATGTGATACCCGTCACCTTTAAATCCTAGATCGCCCAAACAAGCAAGAAATGGTAATGCCTATATATTTGCGCTAAATAATAGAACAAGAAAAAATAATATGGTATAGATCGCGCATGCTTTTGTAATTAGATTTGCTCAATGTATGATGAATTATACAAGAACTAAAAAGTAAAAGCCCTCCCTGCATTTGTATTTGATGTTATTCTTCACAAATAAATAAAAGAAGGTCATTCATTTGAATTTCTTTGTTATTCGTACAAAGTATGAAAGACAAGAAAATAAGAAAATACAGAGCAAATACTGAAACTAAAGGGAATCAGAAATGCATAATAAAGATCTGTAGCAGACTTCTTTGCAATTGGGAACTAGTTTATTAATTTTTACTCATACGGGAAACCGACAACGGAAAATCATTGAGTCCCAAGCTTCTTGTCGACAGTCACAACAATTCCAACAATCACTGCAATCATAATCAGTAGGACTATGAGGACCACATAAGCTCCCACAAGTAATTAAATCATTAAGTTGTGGAAGTAATTTTCTTTTAAGTTCTGATAGAGATCAACATTCCTTTCAGCCATAACTTGTGTCTTGGAGAAACACATCACATCCACTGAAAACTTCATCGTCACAATTACAAAATCAACTTCTGATTGGTATAATATATAAATAACGCAAATTCAATCAACACGTATAGAAATACGTACACACGGGGTGGCGCCTATCGATGGTACTAGCCCATCGATGATACTAGGCCAGCTGAATCCCTCAATCAAACATGTCGTGATGGTATAGAAATACTACAAATTCAATCAAACCTGTCATGATGGCGCCTATCGATGGTACTAGGCCAGCCGACTCCCTCAATACTATAATACTTCATTCAAAGATATGCCAAAAGGCGTCTGATATAGCAAAATTTCATAAAAGAAACAAGGGTTGAACTCAAAAATAAAAATGCGGAATGAAAAGACCCAAACATCGGGGTGTCACTGAGTCATGAGCAACTACTAAAAACTGGTCCGACAATAACAAGACTAACATAGTCCGGAAAAAATCCAAAATACAATTAAGGGGAAGATAAAGAAGAAGAAAACAAGGCTGCGATCGCCGGGCAGCTACCTTGCTAACTCCAATGATCGGCTACAGGAATATCAACAGCCGTTACCGTGATCAAAAATACCTGGATCTGCACACAAGGTGCAGAGAGTAACGTGAGAACACCAACTCAGTAAGCAACAGAAGTAAATAAAGGTTGAGAAGTAGTGACGAGCTAAATGCAAGTACCGTTCATATCACAAGAATTTAGTAAAGTGCGGCATGCTTTGCAACCAGAGTTTAAGTCAAATCAGCTTTTTTAAATCAAGTTCAATTAAGACAATTAGAAATATCTTTCACAGTTCTCAAATATTGACTCAAAGCAACTATGAGCATGCATGATGAAATCATATACTACCCCTCGGGCTAACATCACTCAGTCCTCATAATCATTCCAATCTCACAATCACGTATGCCTCACAATCGCTCAGCACTCGGCACTCGCATTCAGTAGGTACCTGCGCTCACTAGGGGTGTTCAGACTCTGGAGGGGCTCCTACAGCCCAAGCGCTATAATTTGTATGGACAACTCACTTGCTGCACGGACAACTCATGTGCTATAATATCATATCAGAATCCGTACGGACAACTCATGTGCTAAGGTACAATACCTCACAAACAGGCCCTCGGCCTCACTCAGTCATAAACCTCTCTAGTCTCTCGGGCTCTCAGAAATCAAAGAATTCAGCCCAAACAACATTAACATGATGCATCAAATAGAATAATAGAGACTGAGCTATGATGTAAGAATGCATGAACATGGCTGAGTACGGGATATCAACAAAAACAGTGAGAGGACAGCAAAAAATGAGCTCTAAGAGTCCAAACACTACTGGCATAAAGCCTAGACATGGTATCTAGCATTATTTACAGTAAATTTTCTAAAGCACATAAAGAACATATAGCTACAATAGGTTGTTCAACTTTACAGTTGCTACGGGACGGACCAAGTCATAAATTCTCAATAGTGCACGCCCACAAGCCCGTCACCTAGCATATGCGTCACCTCTAAATAGTCACATGACACAAAAATCTAGGGTTTCATACCCTCAGGACTAGATTTACAATAGTTACTTACCTCACTCCGAGCAAATCTCTACTCCGCAATGCCCTTGCCTCTCGAATCGGCCTCCGAGCGTCCCGAGTATAGCCACAAGTAGTACCATAACATTAATATATGCTAAAGGAATCAATTCCACAAGAAAACTACTAAATTAGACTCAAAATCCGAAATCGACTCAAATCCGATCCCTGGCCCCACGTCTCGAAATCTAACAAAAATTATAAAACCCGAAAGCCCATTCACTCACGAGTCTAACCATACAAACTTTATCTGAATCCGACATCATTTGGTCCCTCAAATCCTCAAATTACACTCTCCAAAATCTCAAGCCCTAACCCCCAATTTGTACTTCAAAACCCCACTAATTAGATGAGAAAATAACGGAAAAATACCATAGCTAGGGGTATTAGAGCCCAAGCAACTTACCTCTGTGAAAACCCTTGAATCCCCTTCAAATATTACTCCAAAAGCTCCAAAGTCTGAATTGAAAATAGTGAAAATGAGCAACAAATCACGAAGTCCACTTTTTTATACATTCTGCCCAGTGGAACCGCACCTGCGGTCCCTTTTTCCGCTTCTGCGATGCTGCACCTGCGGAATTTCCATCGCAGGTGCGGAACTCGCTTAAGATCCTAGGTTCCTGTCACGACCCAAAAATTCCACCACAGGAGTCGTGATGGCATCTAATTTCCAAGACTAGGTAAGCCGATTTTCATTACATTTCGAAGCTATTTTTTTTAATATGAATTAAATAGGTAATCAAGACCAACAGCGGAATAAATATGAATATAACAACCTCCCAAGATTGGTAGTACTGAGTCACGAACTCTAACTGAATACATGAAATGATCTCAAGGATCGAATAATCAATACTGTTTGAATAATAAATAACAGTAAAATAAAATGAAAAGACTCCAAGGAACTGCGACGACCAAGCAGCTCTACCTTGAATTCTTGTGATCCAACTCTAACTCTGTCCGAGTCCGATATCCCTAATACCTGGCTCTGCCCAAAAATGTGTAGAAGTATAGTATGAGTATACCACGGTCGGTACCCAGTAAGTATCAAGACTAACCTCAGTGGAGTAGAGAAGAGGTACAGTCAAGACACTCACTACTCTAATAACCTGTGCAATATGATATACAAAATGATAGAAAACAAATAACAGTGATAGCAACACCAATCAACTAGTGATTTAAACAGCAAGACAACAAGAACACCATAAATATTACTCGAACGAATAATAAATACAGGTACAACCAATTAACCAAGTCCTTTCAATATACATCTTTTATCTATAAGTTTTTCAATAAAAGTCTCTAGAATATAATCCTTTTCAATAAATATATTTCGAATATGCTTCCTTCAAATAAATATCCTTCCATTAAATTCTTTCAAATAAATATCTTTCGAAGATAATTCTTTCAGGTAAATATCTTTCAAATATACTTCTTTCAAGTAAATATCTTTCAAATATACTTCTTTCAGTAAATATCTCTCTAATATAATTCTTTCAAATAAATATTCTTCTAATATAATTCTTTCAAATAAAAGTCACCATGTGACACTTCATTTAACTTTCCTGGCGCGAGAAATATCTTCAACATATCACCTCAAATAGTACGGCAATGCCTTCGTGCACTTGTCTCATTCTCACCCATATATATATATATATGTATATATACGTAGATCAACTCAATTGGCACGGCACCACCATTCGTGCATTTACATCTTTCTCACCGTGCATACATATAACAGTACCAACTAGGTGGGAGAAATGACAATAACAATAAAAGAAATAA